ACTACAATATTTACTACACTTGTGTCCCAGACTTGACAAGAAACAAGGTGTTGGGTTAACTACACTATTTACTACACTTGTCCTAGACTTGACAAGAAACAAGTTGTTAACTACAATATTTACTACACTTGTGTCCCAGACTTGACAAGAAACAAGGTGTTGGGTTAAGTACACTATTTACTACACTTGTGTCTCAGACTTGACAAGAAACGTTGTTGGGTCAACTACAATATTTACTACACTTTTGTCCTAGACTTGACAAGAAACAAGGTGGTGGGTTAACTATAATATTTACTACACTTGTGTCTCAGACTTGACAAGAAACGTTGTTGGGTCAACTACAATATTTACTACACTTGTGTCCTAGACTTGACAAGAAACAAGGTGGTGGGTTAACTATAATATTTCAAATAACAAGCTGGTTTGAAGTTATTATTCCATGGACTTGTGCTACCCACCCTAGTATTCATCAGAAATGTTTAACATACAACGTTGGTTTAAATTTAATGTTTTTTTTTACACTTGTACTCACGTTCAAGAGGGGGGGAAAGTTTTGGTGCTTGAAGTTTCCTCCTTTAGTTACAATGTTTCCACAGCATAAGATACTGAAACATAAAAGGTTTGATGTTTTGAGCACTTAAGCTAAGTAGTATTTTATAACTTGGTGTAAAGTAATACTAATTTTTTTTCTAATGAACTTGTCCACAAAAATTACAACTTTTTTAACAACTGTAGGTGCCTACTTTTATACTGAGAAAGTGATGGAATAGAATGTTATAATGAAGTTTCTTTTGTTCTACGTCACACCACACTTCTTGACTGATAGGCTTAAGTGTTCTAAATTTTAGCAATACTTGTGTGTGTATGCCAAAGAAGTATTTCATAATTTAGTTAACGAAATCGGATTGTCGATAGATGAGACTAATCGTGTGAACCACTGTACTGAGGCTGGAGAAATTGGATTAATATTACATATGTAAATGTTAATTTTTTAGAAAATTAAGCTGCAACAGAACTAGTACAGAGCTGGTTTATGTCTCTAACTGTAAGACTGCAAGAGTTTAGGAAAACATGGACAACTGTACATTTCACAAATATTTCACTTATTTGTGAAATGTACAATTGTTTTATTAAATTTTGTTCAATTAAAGCTTCAAACCATCTGTACCTGGTGAAACTACATGATTGAAGAATTGAGGAAAACAATGTCAGTTGTTATGTTTCACAATTATTACCAAGTACTGACAGTTTCAACTATTAATTATAAACTGGTGACTTCAAAAGATTTGAATCATGTGTAGAATTATACACTGGCTGTTCTCTACCTCAAAATACATTTCTTTTACTTGCAAGCTTCTCACCCTATTACCAGAGCCTTCATCGGGCAACAATTTTTAAGGCTGTTTAAGATTTGCTATTACTAATCATTGAACTTGCAAATACTCTTCTAAAGCAAGCTACAACGAACACGTGAATAAAATGCATGAATTCATAACACTTATTCTATTATTAATGAGTTTTATCCTTGTGTATTTGAAGTAAAAGTAATTATACACTTTAAAAATATTGAGGAAGAGTGCACAGAAATAAGGCTTAGCAGTTTTGTTTTTTACTTTTTTGTTACATAGTTTAAGTCATTGGACCTTGCTGCTGGCATAAAACACTCGTTTCCATCATACACAGGAAATAAAAACTTGCGCACAGAAATAAGGCTTAGCAGTTTGGGTTTTTTACTTTTTTTGTTACATAGTTTAAGTCTCTAAAATGTTGGACTTTGCTGCTGACATAAAACACTCGTTTCCATCATACGCAGGAAATAAAACTTGCACACAGAAATAAGGCTTAGCAGTTTTGGTTTTTTACTTTTTTGTTACATAGTTTAAGTCTGTAAAATGTTTGACCTTGCTGCTGGCATAAAACACTCGTTTCCATCATACACAGTTAATAAAAAGTTGCATACATATTTTCCTAAATTAATGTTAATTTTTATTTTTTTCCATATGGTGTGGAACAAGTTGTCAAACTAATTACAAAAATGTTTTGGACAACATAAGATTATGTCGCTACACTGTGGAACTAGATCTTTGTGTAAAAGAGAAAACTAATGAACAAAAATGTATCAAACAAACGATTAAAAGTCTACTAAATGTCCAGTTACTAGGCAGAAAGAGTAATATCTGTTACTGATGTGTTTAGTGAACAAAGTATGTGTGGAAGTTAAACTTGTGTATGTTAACAGTGTTATATAGCTATATGACTGACAGGTTTAGTATGATAAACTATCTTAAGTAGCTGTGTATTGTAGCTATATGATTGTCAGGTTTAGTATGATAAACTACCTTTAGTAGCTGTATATTGGGGCTATATGACTGACAGGTTTAGTGTGATAAACTATCTTTTAGTAACTGTGTATTGGGGCTATATGATTGTCAGGTTTAGTATGATAAACTGTATTTTAGTACCTGTGTATTGGGGGCTATATGATAAACTGTTTAGTTGCTGTGTATTGTCACTATATGACTGACAGGTTTAGTATGATAAACTATCTTTTAGTAACTGTGTATTGGGGCTATATGATAAACT